CCCCATCCTCTCCTGACCCCTCCAAATTCATATCCAGATACATTGCTATATGCCATCTGTTCTGTCATATATGAAGAAGCCTGAGGACGTAATGGATAGCTGATGGACCATCTCCACTGCAAATGGACACCTTTAAAAACAGAACTTTTGGGCCAATGGAACCCCATGGTACTGTGAGCTTAACCCCGAACACAGGGAGAACACAGGGAGAACACAGGGAGAACACAAGTAGAACAGACTCTTTAAAAGATCAATTCTTTGGATATTTCACTGGTAGTACTCTAGGGGAAGAACCCAGCCTTCATGTACTGCACCAAGATTCTCTTCATCTTGAAGAGCTGCTATTGAACATGTCACATCTCACACAGTGCTGCACATGGGTCAGACACAACACAATCAAACCTCCAGACAAGTAATATAAACCAGAAAAGTAAATATAAGCAGGATTTTCACAAGGGAAAAGTGCTGACTCCTGGCCTAAGATGAACTCTGGGACATGTGCAGAGAAGGAGAGACAGGTTATTGTTGGTGAAATAAAATCCATTAAACTCGTTTCCATAGCGAATCCTTGAGCTCCTGGTTCCTCATGCTGTAGATGACAGGGTTCAAGGTTGGAGGCACCACGGAATACAGAATGGCGACCACCAGGTCCGGGGATGGGGAGGAGATGGAGCTGGGCTTCAGGCAGGCAAACATACCGGTGCTGATAAACAGGGAGACAACAGCCAGGTGAGGGAGGCACGTGGAAAAGGCTTTGTGCCGTCCTCGCTCAGAAGGGATCCCCAAAACTGCCCAGAACATCTGCACATAAGACAGCAGAATAAAAACAAAACAAACAAAGAATAAAGAGGAACTAACCACAATAAGCCCAGCTTCCCTGAGATAGTCTGAGTCTGAGCAGGAAAGTTTGAGGATCTGGGGAACTTCACAGAAGAATTGGTCCAGGGCATTACCATGGCAGAGAGGTATAGAAAATGTATTGGCCGTGTGCAGCACAGCATAGAGAAACCCACTGCCCCAGGCAGCTGCTGCCATGTGGACACAAGCTCTGCTGCCCAGGAGGGTCCCGTAGTGCAGGGGTTTGCAGATGGCAATGTAGCGGTCGTAGGCCATGACTGTGAGAAGGAAATATTCTGCTGACATTAGAAAGAAATAAAAAAAGACCTGTGCAGCACATCCTGTGTAGGAAATGGCCCTGGTGTCCCAGAGTGAGTTAGCCATGGCTTTGGGCACAGTGGTGGAGATGGAGCCCAGGTCGAGGAGGGACAAGTTGAGGAGGAAGAAGTACATGGGGGTGTGGAGGTGGTGGTTGCAGGCGATGGCAGTGATGATGAGGCCATTGCCCAGGAGAGCCGCCAGGTAAATGCCCAGGAAGAGCCCGAAGTGCAAGGGCTGCAGCTCCCGTGTGTCTGCGAATGCCAGGAGGAGGAACTCAGTGATGGAGCTGCTGTTGGACATTTGCTGGTTCTTAATATGGGGCCATTGTCCTAAGGAGGAAAAGACAGGGAAAAGCTATGACAGACTTCTCTGAGCAAAGCCACTCCATT